GGACAATAGTCCGTTTGCCTTCAGTCTTTATTTCTTTGACCTGATCAGGTGACACCGTGACACAAGATCCGCTGGAAGGAGTGTCAGAGTCCCAGCCCGAGCAGGGGTCGCCGGGAGCCTGGGGGATATCCTGCAGGGCGGGACTTGTGGGGGTCTCTACATATGGGTCAGCGGCTTCCAGCTTCAGCAAGCTCCCCATGTACCCCTCCTTCACAGGCACATCACTGTCCCTCCGCTTCCTCTTCTTCTTCTTCTTCAGCTTGTCCGTTTTCTTTCTGTCCAGCAAGAAGTTACTGGGCTTGGCTCGCTGCAGGAGGCTCGGCTGCAGGTGGCCAAAGCAGCGGTCAGAGACCGGCAAGGGTACCGCGGACGCCATGTCGGTGAAACCAGCGTCCCAGCCGTCACTGTCGATGGTACCAGCGGTGCTGTTGGCAGGGCTGGGGCTGCTCCTCAACGGGAGCTCCTGAAAGGACAGAAGCACAGGCGTGGGGTCCGAGTGTTTCGGCCGGTCCCCGGCAACAAGAGCTAGCCACAGGCAGAGTGTCCGCAGCCGGTCAGGCCTACAGACCAGGGCTATCAGAACCGTGACCTTCTCGGCTCTCACAGGCAGTACTCTTTAGGAATGGTGTCATGAGCACTCTACCGTGACCTTCCAGATAGAATGTTAACCCCCGAGGAGGAAAACCTTCTCTTGCTGAACCCTCAGCCCCTGGACCAGAGCCAGGAACTCATTCGATGCCCAGTAAGTATCTAGAAAAGTGCCAAGGACACCCTCTGAAAGCCCCTTATCTTTCCCCGATTGTAATATCTCCTGTCTGTTTGTCCTCCCAAGGGGTGTATTTTTTTTTTAATTAAGTGAATTTAAATTAGTTTTGGGAGCTTCCTGACACTCTTCTTCAAAACTGGAGACATCCCCCCAAATACTGCAAAATCAAAGTAGGTAATCATAGCTCCAAAGCCATGAGCTAATCTCTGTGGTTCCTTCAGACCAGTCAAGCATTTTATTTACAAACAGTGGCAACACTCTGCGTGGTACAAAAGACACACTTATCCACGTCCACGGCAAACAGAAGTGATAAGCCAATGCTGGACTCTGACCTCTTAATAAACTTTCCTTTCTTTTGAGACCTGTATAATACAAGCTTCAACACTATGACCATGGTGGTCCTCAGTCCTGCCCGTTAGTTACTTAGCAAGGAGAAAAGAAATCCCTTAAAACACAGGGGATTTGGGCCACAAGTCCCTGAAGACACTGTAACATGGTGTGCAAAGCAAGTGGAGAGCTGCTCACCAGAAGAACAGTGTAGACCGGGCCTAACCGTCCGGCTGAACCCCAGGCTCTGCCACTGTAATTAGCCTGGAACCCAGGGTGAGGAGTGCCCCAGCGTCTTCGTCTTTAAAATGGGGATAAATAACAGCACCTGTCTCATAGATCATAAAGACCAAGAACGCCGCCCGGCCACTGTAGGCACTGCATCTGCACCGGACATTCAGAGCGGGCAGACAGGAAACATGTTATTTGCAAGCAAACGCTTAAAGTTTATTAAATCATTTTTAGACAAGCCTATGCTTTCTATCTGAGTTTTAGAAACCACCTCCCAGACAGGTCTAAGTTTCCTAGAAAGATTTCTACCTGACAGCCGTCTGAAGTCCCCCCACCCCACCCGTTCCAGACCCCCACCCTGCCACTGGCTTCACTGCCAGCAAGAAGGGTGGCCCTGAAGATTACCTCCTTCGGATACGGAATGTAGCCAGCATAGGCCAAGACAAAGGTGCAGAATTTGTTGAAATCCTCCACAGTCCTGCGCCTCTTGTAACTGGGGGAGCACTCCTGTTAGCAGGCGAGAAAACGGGGTGTGTTTGAAAGTAGGCACTTGGAGATGGAACCACAGAAACAAAACTAAGCCAGCTGGAGATGTTCTCGTCAACCACTTGAAAATACACGGTTAGATTTACAAACACTCCAGAAACAAGATAAGGTAGGTTTGGGTCCGAGAAATAGCACTGTACTCAGGAGGCTGAAAGAAGGGTATTGTGGTGTTTTGCCAAGGGCAAACACTGGGGCACTGGTGGGCAGATAACAACATGCAGCACAAGAATCTATTTCTTGTGCTCCTGTGGCATTTTCCAACATTATCACTGTCTGCAGGCCTATCAGGAGCTCTAATAACTGTGTTTTTGCTACAGATTTTCCATTTTGAAAATAAACTTCAGCTGCAGCTGTAATCCAAATATTTTTAAGTGATTTCAAAGTCAACTACTTCTTACCCTTCAGAACTCAACTCAGGTCTGACCCCTCCCCAGCCAGGGAGGAACTCCTCCTCCTCCTGGGCCCTCTCCTCCAGGAGAGGCCACTTCCGCTCGGCCCTCCGCTGCTGCAACACCCAGCGTCCAGGGGGCCAGCACCCAAATGCTCCCCGACTCAGAAATTAAACCAGGAACGTTGTTCCTAGGCTTAACTTGCAGGGAGAAGGAATACTGGATGAAATACTAGAGGATTTTGGCTTGTGTGTCCTGTCTCCATTCAATCTAGAAACGTCCTTAACAAGAAGGGGTTTTCTCCCCGAAAAAGAGCAGCTCGGGGAGAAAGAACCTTTATTTGCTAAAAAGCAAAACAACTCTCCTTAATTTTGGTTTATTCGGCTAGCTTATTTACCGAGATTTCCTTCAGGCATTTTAGCACCCATCCCAACCCCATCCTTACGTGCTCAGCTCCCATTTCCAGAACCCAGGGACCCCCTACCCTGCTAGGGTGAAAGCGGGACAGAAAGCTGGGGGGTGGGTTCCTGGACCCAGCCCAGCCCCTCCACAGGACGGTGGGCCCAGAAAGCGGCGCGGCACCGGCGCGCCGCCCGCAGGTTTCCTTCCGAAGGCTCCGCTTATTTTTTCAACTTGGTTCTAGCAGCCCCCCGCCGGCGCCCCCGGGGGCCGCCCCGCCCCCCCCCCCCCCCCCCCCCCCCCCCGCCGCTGGGACCCTAGGGGCGCGCAGGTCGGCGGAGCACCGGCCTCAGAGAGGTACCCGGAATTTCCTGCGGCGCAGAGACCCTGCCCCCATCCCCGGGAAGCACTGACCGCCCGCGCTCCGGCCACGGTGGGAGGGCCGCGGCCCTCGGCCCTCAAACTCTCGGGGCGAACTTTTATTTCGGCGGGGAACGCGCAAAAGTGGGTCAGGGGCCTGGACGCGGAGCGCAAGGCGGCGGCGCCCTCGGGCCCGGGGCGGAGGGACCCGCGCCGCCCCCACCGCGCCCGCCCGCCTCGCCGCCCCGCCGCCTTTAGGAAAAGCAGATGGCGGTGCGGCCCCCTCCCCGCCCTCCGCGGAAGCCGCCCCCCGCCGACACTCGGCCCCGGAAGGTGCGGGGCCCATCCCGCCGGGGAGGGGGCGCGGGAGGCCGGGCAGGATTCGGGGTCCGGGGCTGGTGGGCCCCGCGAACCCCCAAGGCGGCAGCGCGGCAAGCCAACGCGCCCGCCGCCGCCTCCCCCACCCGCTCGAGCCGGGACCCGCACCCGAGCCCGGCGGACCTCGGGAGCGAGAGGGGACCGAGGCGGGGGCGCCGGAGGGGCCGCCCGGGAGAACCGAGGGCCGATCCCCGGAAGGAGGGGGAGCCGGGGCGGGGCGAGAGAGCCCGCGGCCGGGGGGCGGGGGCCCCGGAGGGGGAGGAGAGCGCGCGGAGGGTGGGGGGCTCGATTCGGGTGTTTGCGGGGGTGGGGACCCGGCAGGAGTAGGCCCCCGGAGCCGGAGGGGGCGGGGGCCGCGCGGGAGTCAGGGGGCGGGGCGCGGACTACCGGGCCCTGGGGATTAAGGGAGCAGGCGGGGGCGCGCGGAGCGGAGTCCCGGTCCGAGGGGGACCACGAGCCCCTCCGGGAGGGGGGGAGGGGGCTCGTCCGAGAAGCGGGAACGCGAGGCGGCGGCTGGGACCGAGTCCCCGGGGGCGGGGAAGGAGTAAGCCAAGCCGGCAGGGAGGGGCCGGGGGCGCAGACAGGTCCCGGAGCTACGCGAGGCCGGGGAGGGGTGGGCGCGGCGACCCGAGGGAAGCGGGCGCCGGGAAGACGCGGACGCCCGCGGGAGGGACGCCGAGGCGAGGGCCGGCTGGGAGGACCGGGCGCGGGCCCGAGTGGGGGGCGGGGTTGAGCGCCCAAGGGGGCGACGAGGGAAGGCCGGGGGAGGGGAGGGCGGCGCTGGGCCGGCGGGGGTCCGGCTGCGGGGAGCGCCAGGACTGGAGTGGGGGTGGTCAGGGGCGATCCGGACGCAGCCCTCACTCACCTCCGGGTGGAAGGCGGCGGCGCAAGAGTCGGAGTCCATGTTCAGGGTGGGGGGCGGCGGCTACGGGAGTGCAGGGGCCGGGGTGCGGGCGCCGGGCCGCGGAGCCGCTCAGGGCTGGGGGCTCCGGCGGCAGCGCAGAACGAGGGCGGACCCGGGAGGGGTCGCCCCGGCTGGAGGTGATGAGGGGTTCGGCGTGTTGCGTCCCGGGCTCTGTGCTCCCGGGCCGGCGGCTCCACGGCCGAGCAGAGTTGGCGATGCAGCTCCTGCGGCCGGCGCGGCGGGAGAGGCGGGAGAGTCGCTGCGGGGGGCGGTGGCGGCGGCGAGCGGGAACCCGACCCGCTCCCCGACCTGACGCCCAGTTCGGCTCGTGTCTCGGGAGGGAGGGCGGGAGAGCCGCGAGGGCTGTCGGGAGATGTAGTCTGTGGGCGACGGGAAGCCAAAGGCGCGGGGGCGGGCGCGGGGCATTGTGGAAGTAGTGGTCCCAGCTCCGCCTCTAAGGCGCACAAAGGCCTCCTCGCGGACTACAAGCCCCATAGAGCTCCACGGCGACTGCCCGGTTTCTGGGGGCGGTGTCTCCGGGACCTGAGGCTGCCGGAGCGGGGGAGGTGCGGAGGCTTGCTCCGGCTCGGCGGTGGGGGAGGGGCGGTGCGAGCGGTAGCGCCGCGGTCTCCGCGGGGGCGGGGGTCGCCTCGGCGGGTGGGGGCGGGGCTGACGGCTTTGGACCAGGAGGGCCGGGGCGACGCCTGGCGTCTCCTTTGGGACTTGGGGTTCGGGCACCTTTGTGGGACCGTGGTCCCCGCGGCCCGGGCGGGACTGGGGGCGGCGGGGGCGACAGGCGCTGACGTCGCGGCCGCCCCTGGGCTCGGGTCGGCGGTGCGAACTTGTTTTCGCGGTGGGGGTATTCTGGCCCACTCCTGTCCCACGGGTCCTGGGGCGGCGGGACCGAGGACCTCCTGGTATCTGTAGGATCCACTTTGGGGTGCCGAGTTACTGCGTTTTTAGAAACTGTGCTAGCATCATCGATGTTTTGGAAGATGTTAGCCTAAATTAGATTTTTTTTTTTCTTTTTTCCTCTCTGCCTCATCTTGGGACTGCCCCTGCTTTCTTACGTTAATGGCATTATCTTCTGAATATATTCTCACAGGATTACAACAGTGGGTGAGGGAGAAACCTAGTAAAGATGTTTGGTATTGACATTGATTTTATTGATATTTAATTGAGAAGTTTGCGGTGTTTAAACGCTGGACCGCTGAGTATTTTACAACTTTATATGTTGAAGGTTGATTGACATTGAACACTTAGTTGAAAATTAACCGCTCTGATAAAATTACCAGAGGAGGCCTGATCGTTCTTGAACATTTTTGATAAGCATTTAAAAGAAAAAAGCCTATAGATGATTCAATAACATGTTTGGTAGCTTCGAAGACAAAGGAACTGTGTTAAAGAGGAGTGACATAAAATTTTTAATTTGAATCACAAAAACGACTCCTTGACTCACTAAATCGAAAAAGATGATTGGAAGAATCTCTTGGAGGTTATTTCTGAGGGAGTGAATGCTATGTTGGTTGACTATCACTATTGAGATTGTTAAAATAATTCCGAAGGAAACTAGTAGTTAAAGGACCGGGGTTTGTCTTAGAAATGCTTTTCTGAACCGCAGTTTCCTAAATTCTAAAATTTTTATCACAGTTCCTTTCTCAAAAAATGATAGTTTACTATTTTTGCTGTTATTTTTTAATGTAATTTCAGCAATGTCTTCCCGGACTGGAGAGAGCCACAGCGGCGATAACAAAATGAGGTGATCTAGGAAGTTAGATTAAAAACAGACGTTGAACTTGGCCTGTGGAAACATCATCAACAGCTTCTTACCCAGTTGTCACATTCAGGTGATTTAGCAGGATTTAGAATGCTAACTGATCACTACGGCCAGAGCAAATGTCCTGAGGTTAGCCAGTGTTGCCCAGGGTCAGATTACCAGCAGCAACCTGTTTTGCCTGAATAAGAAAAGACCGGGGCTCCTGGGTGGCTCAGTCTGACTCTTGGTTTCCGCTTGGGTCACCATCTCACCATTTTTAGTTGGAGCCCTGCATGGGGCTCTGCACTGACAGCATGGAGCCTGCCCGGGATTCTCTGTCTCCCTTGCTTTCTGCCCCTCCCCACTCTCTCTCTCAAATATAAATAAACACCTAAAAAATTTTAAAAAGGGCCGGGAAGGGATATTATTCTTTTGTTGGTTTAAAAGTGTAAATGCCAGGGGCGCCTGGGTGGCGCAGTGGGTTAAGCGTCCGACTTCAGCCAGGTCGTGGTCCGTGAGTTCGAGCCCCGCGTTAGGCTCTGGGCTGATGGCTCGGAGCCTGTTTCCGATTCTGTGTCTCCCTCTCTCTCTGCCCCTCCCCCGTTCATGCTCTGTCTCTCTCTGTCCCAAAAATAAATAAACGTTTAAAAAAAATACAGAAAAATATTAAAAAATAAAAATAAAAAATAAATAAATAAAAGTGTAAATGCCAAAAAGAGTATTAATTGGAGGTGAAGTCCAAGTAAACGAAAAGGGAATTTTTTTAACTGCTAATTATTCCCATAGTAAATTCATAGAGTAAATGTTAATTAAATCCTCCTCCTATTAAGAAATTGAAGTGAAGAACTTGTTGGTAATAATAATGGACTTGATGACAAAAGCCTAGAATTCAGGGATCTATATTGAATGGAATCACTCAGACATATTAAGGAAAGAAAATTCCAAACCTGAATTGTGTCATGTAACAGGGATCATTCTTGCTCAGAATAGGTGTTTGATAGATACTTCTTGAATAACTTATTAACAAACAGTAGTTCTTGGTACACAGATATGACCAGTACTTCCTGATGTCTGCTTGTTTCCCCGCCTTGCACTCCCAAAAACTTCCTGGAGGACCTTCTTGGTCTCCTTCCTTTGATTCCTCTTAGAAGTTTAGCCCTCTGGAGGAGGTTTAGACATGAATATTTACCCTCCCTTCCCTAGACTCAAGGAAGGATTATAATACCAATAATTGACCCAAAGTCAGTAGCATAATATGTACTTGTATTATCTCATCAATACACAGATTATATGTATTTAGTACAGAAAGGCAGAAAATATAGGCAAGCACAAACACTGAAGTAATGTAGTTGGTTTGTCTAGTTTATTTCTCAGGTGTCCTTGTACTATTCCTGGGCTCCAGGGGGCAAATTTGGAATTCAAGGATTAATGCAAGAGCATTAGCCACAGTAGCCAGATACTTGGAGACTGTGATTCCTTGTTTTCTGCCTTTAGGGGAAAAAAAATTATTATTATACCTGCTGATTATTACAGTTATTTGGAAAAGAGGGAGAAAAAAGCCAACGTTAGCACAGGTTGTGACAAGTTTTAAAATACTAAGAATACCGTAGTTTCCCAGTAAGTAACTTGAGAATGTAGTTATTTTAATTGGGTTACCAAATATAGCTTCACCTTTCTAAATCTCACAGCTATACCACATTCATTTAGGGAACATTCTGGAAAGCTTTCTGCCTACCATTATAACTCAGTACCTGAGTGTGGGTATGAACATAACCAGAGGTTTCTTTCTCCCAAAATGACTTTTTGGTGGTTCAGCTTTAATAGAATATTCTTAGGAATTCGTGTGGATCTTTCCCATCCCGTTTTCTGATTTTTCTGACTTCCATCTCCAAGAGACCAAAAAAAAAGTAAAACTTCCTCAAAATCATCTTGTTTTTAACTTTTAGTACCTTGACCACTGTATGAATATATACATGTGAATAATCTTAAGTCATTAATAAATAATTTTTATACCATGTATTGTCACCTCTTTATATAGGGAGGGAAATAACTTATAAACAAATAAGTCAAACGAACTTCTCATACAAGGATTCATAGCTAACACTGTGCTGGATACTGTTTGTAAGTTTTTGCCTACAGGGGCACCTGGGTGGCTCAGTTGGCTAAGCCTCTGACTTCAGCTCAGGTCATGATCTCAGGTTTCGTGAGTTTGAGCCCTGTGTGGGTCTCTGTGCTGACAGCTCAGAGCCTGGAGCCTGCTTCAGATTCTGTGTCTCCCTCTGTCTCTGCCCCTCCCCAACTCATAGGCATCTGCGCGCGCGCTCTCTCTCTCTCTCTCTCTCTCTCAAAAATAAACATTAAAAAACTAATAATAAAAATAAACGTTTTTACCTACTGTATCTCATTTACTTATAATAACGTACTTAATAAATAGAGAATATTATAGCGTTCCTTAAAGGAAAGTTTAGTAAGTTCATTACAAATCACACTTGAGATGGTTCAGAATCAGTAAAGAATTGGGTGTACAATAGGAGAAAAGGCATACTCTCTTTTTAATGGTATAAATGTGTAAGTATGTGCTTCTAAATGTTCTCGAAGGAAAAAAAAACCCAGGATAACCGGCTTTTATAAAATGATCTCCATGACCTCTTGTCCTGTCTGCCTAAAATTAGAATTTAAATATCAAAATTGCATAGTTTAAATTTTTAGAAATGAAATGGTACCATTATTTGTTAAATCACATTACTTTCTCAGACAAAGACCATTTTCATGATATTGGAAGAGGTAAATTTTAAAAACTTTCATGGTTGAAATTTAATTTTTTTTTCTGTGTCCCCTGCCTCAGCAGCCTCCCCCCAGAAGTTTAATCTTTAAATACAAACATTTCCCCCCAAACTATGGGTTGTTGACTAGAGTTAACACCTTTCTCACTGAACACTAGTGTTTCTACCGTGCCCAGATGTGGAATGACATTGGAAGAATTTGCTGGCTCGATCATACTTAAGTGAATGAATTTCTCACTTTCCCATCTTGAACTTTTTTTTTTTTTTTTTTTTTTAATTTCGAGAGAGGGGCCCCTGGGTGGCTCAGTCGGTTAAGCATCTGACTTTGGCTCAGGTCATGGTCTCCCAGTTTGTGAGTTCGAGCCCCACGTCGGCCTCTGTGCTGACAGCTCAGAGCCTGGAGCCTGCTTCGGATTCTGTGTCTCCTCTCTCTGCACCTCCCATGCTCATGCTCTGTCTCTCTCTGTCTCTCAATAATAAATAAACATTGGGCGCCTGGGTGGCTCAGTTGGCTAAGTATCCAACTTCAGCTCAGGTCACGATCTCGCGGTTTGTGGGTTTGAGCCCCACGTCGGGCTCTGTGCTGACAGCTCAGAGCCTGGAGCCTGTTTCAGATTCTGTGTCTCCCTCTCTCTCTCTGACCCTCCCCCATTCATGCTCTATCTCTCTCTGTCTCAAAAATAAATAAACGTTAAAAATAATAATAATAAATAAACATTAAAAAAAATTAATTTCAAGAGAGCCAGCGGGGGAGAGGGGCAGAAAGAGATTGTTAAGCAGTTTCCACACTCAGCGTGGAGCCCAACACGGAGCTCCATCCCACAACCTTGGGATCATGACCTGAGCCAGAACAGAGTCTATTAACCAACTGAACCACCCATGTGCCCCCCTCCCCCACCATCTTGAACTCTTATGGTTGATCAGATGAGTGAGAAAAGGAACTAGATAGCATGCCTGGGTTAGTGGGTGATTCAAATTTCCAAACACAGCTGATGGGTCTAAATCTGTTCCTTTATTTTCTAACCACATTCCTATGTTGCCTTAGATATGTACACATGGCTTCGAATGCTCCCCTTTTAGGTCCAGGATATTAATAATATACCTTTTTTTCTCAAGAACTGAATTCTTAATTGTATTTTCAACTATTATCTCACCAAACAGAGTATGTCTATCTAGTACAGAAAGAGAAAAACACAGGCAAGCACAAACAATGAAACCTCGCCACCTCAGAATATGTTACCTTCACAATTGCTTTGTGGGCATATGAACAGACAACAAACTGGGCCATACTACGGGTAATCGGATTTTTTGCTCGACACTGTAGCACGAATATCTTATTCCAATAAATACATGCATCATTATTTCTTCAGGACTTCACAGTAAGGCTGATTTGTTTAAGTACACAAAACTGGACTCCGTCCTTCACCAGAGCAACATTATTTGATTTATGAAAGCTTTGCTTTCTGCAAGGTGGACAAGTTCTGACCCAGAGGGAGTGTAGTACTTTTCCCTACAAACATCCCACTTCCTGGCTACTCAGACTCTCTTGTCACAAAGCCTGTGCAAGTAAGCTATTGGCCGGGCTCCTGGGCCCAGGAATGCTGCCGCTGCCGTTAATAGCTGTGTGAACAGTCCATCTATGGGCAACACGCAGCCGCCTGGGTACCTGAATGTTTTTTTTCACTCAGGCCTGTGCTTCCCATGCTGAAATTTGGACCAGACACATTCTCAGGGCAAGATGATGAGATTCAAAGCACAAGAGAAAGCCTGCAGTTCGCATTTCAGAGATGGAGGAAAAACAAGATGTCTTCTCCAAAGGTTGTGCCCACTCAGCTGGAACCAAGAAATGACAGCAACCCCCGGGTGCCTGGCCCGCCCTGGGACACACGTGGGCGCGTGGGTGAGGCGTTCACCAGGAATGTTTCTGCGAGGCCCACAGGGCATGGGTGGGGGCTACTAAATAACAAAAACCCAGGTTTCTTCTGAGAAGCAAAAGGACTGGAGTCTTTTCTAAAACCGAGCAAAGCGTCTGCTAAAGAAAAAACATGGCTTCCAAGGGAGGGAATTTTTTTCACCTAGTTACGTTGAAAGTGGAGTCCTGGTATTGTATTCACGGGAACCACACTAAGGAAGATTCCTTTCTTCACAGTCACCCCACAAGTGACTGTGACGCTCCTGAACGCCCACATCCCTGGTTTTTCAGGCAGTCCCCTGTCTGACCTTGAGCTAAAGGCAGTGTCCCCAGGCCCCTAGCGTCCCCTCTCCTGGAATAGGAAAAACTGCTGCTTTCGCCGGAATTATTTACATTATTTATATTATTATAATTTTCTGGTACTTGAGCCTTTTGTTCAACCTAATAGCACGTTCTTCTGCATTCTCACGGCGGTCTCCTACCCTCAAGTTTTCTGCCTTCCCCACGTCCACTTCCAGGAGAGGGGGCGAGGAGCCTGGGGGTCGAGCCCGCGCGGGCCTGCGCCCTCAGAAGGCAGCTCTGGAGCCTGAGTCTCTATGAATCGGCAACCAGAAGTGCGCCTCGTACGCTGACGAAAGTTAATGACCGAGTTAGTCAAGTTTGAAACTCCTGCAGGAACACAGTGGAGCAGATTCTTGGCGTCTGGCCCCGTGTCACTTACAAGTGCGCCAAGAAAAAACGTCACCTAAAAAAGCTTATACTTGTTCAAGCCTTAGTCCTGAATTGTAAAAATCCTGTCTTTTGAGATCTGCCCGGCAATAAGGTTAACTAGCAACCCTCGGAACTAGTGGAATTCAAAACAAAATAAAAACAAAACAAGAAAAAGGTACTGTAGCGAGCCGCCCAGGGGCTCAGGGGCCGCCGACTGGGTAGGGAAGTCTGGCGCGAAAGGGGCGGCTCCGGTTCCGGGCGCCGAGCTCGCCCCCGCCGGCTTCGGCCCCGCAGCCCGGCCCGGTGCGTCGTGGGCGGGCCCTGGAGGCCCCCGACCCCGGACGGAGAGGACACACGACGCCCGGCAGGCCCGGCTCGGACGGGGGGCCGCGGGAAGCCCCGTAAGGGCGCGGGCGGGCGGTAGTGACTCAGCCTCGGGCGCATGGGGCGGGCGGCGGCGCCGGGCTCGGAGGGGTTAAGTAGGCGGGGCCAGCGACGGCCCGCCCCTCCCGGCCCGCCCCCGAGGCCGCGGCGCCCGGCGGTACTTATAGCGGCGGCGCGGGACGCGCGGCGTTCCTCCCGCTGGCCCCGGCCGCGGCTCGTCCTAGTTACCCCAACGACGGCGCCATGGAGCGGCCGGCGCCCCTGGCCGTGCTGCCCTTCTCGGACCCCGCGCACGCGCTGAGCCTGCTGCGCGGCCTGAGCCAGCTCCGCGCCGAGCGCAAGTTCCTGGACGTGACGCTGGAGGCGGCGGGCGGGCGCGACTTCCCCGCGCACCGCGCCGTGCTGGCGGCCGCCAGCCCCTACTTCCGCGCCATGTTCGCCGGGCAGCTGCGCGAGAGCCGCGCCGAGCGGGTGCGACTGCACGGCGTGCCGCCCGACATGCTGCAGCTGCTGCTCGACTTCAGCTACACGGGCCGCGTGGCGGTGAGCGGCGACAACGCCGAGCCGCTGCTGCGGGCCGCCGACCTGCTGCAGTTCCCGGCCGTGAAGGAGGCGTGCGGCGCCTTCCTGCAGCAGCAGCTCGACCTGGCCAACTGCCTGGACATGCAGGACTTCGCCGAGGCCTTCAGTTGCGCGGGGCTGGCGAGCGCGGCGCAGCGCTTCATCCTGCGCCACGTGGGCGAGCTGGGCCCCGAGCAGCTGGAGCGCCTGCCGCTGGCGCGCCTGCTGCGCTACCTGCGCGACGACGGGCTGTGCGTGCCCAAGGAGGAGGCCGCCTACCAGCTGGCGCTGCGCTGGGTGCGCGCGGACCCGCCGCGCCGCGCCGCGCACTGGCCGCAGCTGCTGGAGGCGGTGCGCCTGCCCTTCGTGCGCCGCTTCTACCTGCTGGCGCACGTCGAGGCCGAGCCGCTGGTGGCGCGCTGCCCGCCCTGCCTGCGCCTGCTGCGCGAGGCGCGCGACTTCCAGGCGGCGCGCTACGACCGCCACGACCGCGGGCCCTGCCCCCGCATGCGCCCGCGCCCCTCCACGGGCCTCGCCGAGATCCTCGTGCTCGTGGGTGGCTGCGACCAGGACTGCGACGAGCTGGTCACCGTCGACTGCTACAACCCACAGACGGGCCAGTGGCGCTACCTGGCCGAGTTCCCCGACCACCTGGGCGGGGGCTACAGCATCGTGGCGCTGGGCAACGACATCTACGTGACGGGTGAGGGGACCGGGGGCCGGCCGGGAGGGCCCCGGGTGTTAGTCTCCTGCGGCCTTGGGAGAGTGCGTTTTCCGAACCTGGAATCCTAGAACCGCCCCACAGTGCGAGCGCCCCTTCCCTTCCCCCGCCCCTTCTTGGCCAGTGGGTACGCTTCGAGAGCTGGTGCTTTCGACCTGGAAGTCCGTTGTGTGAGCTGCGACAAGCAGCTCCTTGTGGTCTCTGTGTTCCCCGATGTTGGGGGGGGGAGGGGAGGGTAAGCAGCCTAGATGACAGATGAGCCCACTCCTTGCCCGGGAGGTGCCCCCACCCCCATTTGGTTAGAGGATACTGGGGCATTCACCCTGCACAATGGGCGCTTTCTTCTTCTCCCTAAGGAATCCAGGGACAGGCGGGGGACTGGCACTCGATTAGACAACCCATTTCCCGTCCTGGGGATTTCCCCCACACAGCTGAGCCCCACAGGCCCCTTGACACGCTCATTTTGTCACCAGTGACAGGGTTCCCTCAAGCTTGCACCTAGGCTGGTCGCTGGGGGGGGGGGGGGGTCACATGGTGTTTAGGCTGCTCCCTAGTCAGCGACTGTAAACATGGTCACATGCTAAGAGGTTTTCTTCCAGTTACTTGGCTCAAACCCCAAAACACTGCCGAGTCATGCTGGGCGGGTCCCATCCTGCCCCGGTCCTGGGCATCTCCCACATTTTTCATTAAAGATAAATCCCAGTTCAGACATGGGGCTACCTCCTTCCCTGGGGTGAGGAGGGGCGGTCTCTGTGACAGCTATATAAGGAAAGAACCCGACTCGGCAAGCAGCCCTGGGCCCTGCAGAAGGCTGTTATCAGTCAGTGAACTGAGGCTGTGCCCCGCGTGGCACCTTCAGGAGAACGCCAGCTCTGAGCTCTGGTGTTCCCACTCCCCAGCCCCACACGCACCACCAGTTGGCGAGTGGAGAAACCTTGGGTTAAGGACGTGCTCAGCTCTTGGCCTGCTGCTCTGTTCCAGCGTTTGCTGGAATATGCTGGAATTGGTCGCTTTCCAGTTTGGGGTTGGTTGGCCCTGTGTTCGGGAACTGTGTGCCCTCCCAACACATGAAAGTCTGGCCAGTGCACTCCCTCCCAGAACTGGTTAGACTCACCCCAACTTTGCACACCCTTCCATAAACGTCTCAGCTGAGCAGCTAATCCTTTGGGGTTAGACAGGTGGCTGGGTCATTCCATACAGCTGCCTGGAGGGAATTTCACAGGGGCAAGGAAGCTGGTTTCAGCTGCCTTGGATGCAGTTATCCTTTAGGAGGAAGAAAGCAGGCAGAGTGCACTTTGTAAGAGCTTTGTGTTTTAAAAAGCTCAAGGCTGTGAGACAGGATGTCATGCGTGCTTTGCCCTGTGGCGCCAGCTCTGGGGAGGGGGGATGTGACCCCGCCCCTGGATTCTGGGGATCCCTTCAGGCTGTGGGAATTCTAATGTTCTGGGTTTAACTTATGATTACAGCCAGCACCCCGGGGGGCAGTGAGTGGTTGGCTCTTTTTTTGAAAGAAATGTAGAAAGAACTTGATTGATTTTTTTTTTTTTTTTCCCCTGGACGAGGCACATGTCGGTAACTTGTGCCTAAATCAAGAACTGGATCCCCAGGATTCCCCCCGTAGCGTTTCTTTCCGTGCTGGGCTCTTGCTTGCAGTGTGAGGTAGATTTCCTATCGGCTTGTCCTGGCCCTGCCTTGTTTGCGGCTGCCCAGAAAGGCTAGAATTCCACAAACAAGGCCGTGTGGGCCCTGCCACATGCTTTGTGGCCCCCCAGAAGTTTTGGCTCTGAGACCCAGGTCCTGGTGCAGTTGGGGTGTTGGACAGTGTCTGTGGGGGTCCAGACCGCGATTGCTGTTTACTTAGAATTCTGACTCCAGGGCCCTTGTTTGACCCACAGGGACTGGCGGTGTTCTTGTGGCAGGAAGCTCTTATACCCCTGGGCGGTGGTCGGCACCTGCACTGCCTCAGCCCCCCCACCCCCCCTCCCCCGCCCCGCCCCGGCATGGAGCCCCTCTAGCCAGGGCTTTGGTGAGAGAACCCATGTGTTGAAACCATGTGCTGAAACCCAGTGAGGCTACTTCCTGCCCTGGGAGGCTCGCTCTGGGAAGTTCATCGAGGCCCGCGTGGGTGCCTCACCCCCGAGTCCGCACGGGCTGACCTGTGCGATGCACGTCCCGGCAGGTGGGTCTGACGGCTCCCGGCTCTATGACTGCGTGTGGAGGTACAATTCCAGCGTGAACGAGTGGACGGAGGTGGCGCCCATGCTGAAGGCCCGTGAGTACCACAGCTCCTCCGTGCTCGACGGGCTGCTGTACGTGGTGGCCGCGGACAGCACGGAGCGCTACGACCATACCACCGACTCCTGGGAGGCCCTGCAGCCCATGACCTACCCCATGGACAACTGCTCCACCACCGCCTGCCGCGGCCGCCTCTACGCCATCGGCTCGCTGGCCGGCAAGGAGACCATGGTGATGCAGTGCTACCACCCGGACACGGACCTGTGGTCGCTGGTGGACTGTGGCCCGCTCCCACCCTGGTCCTTTGCCCCCAAGACGGTGACTCTGAACGGACTTATGTACTTCATCAGGTGAGTATCCTGAAGCCGAGGCCTCTCCACAGCCTTTCTTACCAGGCCCCGTGCTAAAGCGCATCATCGCTGTGCTCCCATTTCACAGATGAGGAGGCAGGCCAAGCTGGCATCCGAGGCTAGGTCTTTCTCACCTGTTAGAACAGTTTCTGTGGGCTTCTAGGTTTTCTTGATCAAGGGATCCTGACTGATGGAGTTAGATCCTTGGATTATTGATTGAGTGGAGTTAGGGCCTTTTAGAGAGCTGAGACTCTAGAAGCTAAACCACGTGTTGCTTTGCCTGTCTTCCACCCTGAGGATCCCGCTGTATAGACCCTGGTGGTTCTCATGTGGCATTCATTAAGAAAGGAATTTGTCCTACATAAGGGGGGTTTTGCATCTTAAGACCAGAGGAGGGGCATGTGGGTGGCTCAGGCGGTTGGGCGTCCGACTCTTGGTTTTGGCTCAGGTCCCAATCAAGCCCCACATCGGGCTCTGCGCTGACAGTGTGGAGCCTGCTTGGGATTCTCTGTCTCCCTCTCTCTCTGCTCATCCCCTGATTGCACTCTCAAAATAAATAAACATTTAAAAAAAAAAAAAAAAAGACTAGGGGAGGGCTTTTTGGAGACTTTGGGTCTTTGGGGAAGTGTTGCTTTGTCAGAGGGACCCTTTGCTCACCCAGCAGTGTGTCTTCACCCTGCTGCCAGGTGCAAGAGCCGGGGGTGGGGGGGTCAGCTCCACCCCCCCTTATTTATTATTTTTAATGTTTACTTGTTTTTGAGAGAGAGTGTGTGAGCAGGGGGAGGGGCAGAGAGCGAGGGACACACAGAATTGGAAGCAGGCTCCAGGCTCTGAGCTGTCAGCACAGAGCCCAACGTGGGTTTGAACTCACAGACCGTGAGATCGTAACCTGAGCTGAAGTTGGATGCTTAACCAACTAAGCCACCCGGGGGGCCCCACCCTCTCTGTTTAAAAAAAATTTTTTTTTTTAACGTTTATTTATTTTTGGGACAGAGAGAGACAGAGCATGAACGGGGGAGGGTCAGAGAAAGGGAGACACAGAATCCGAAACAGGCTCCAGGCTCTGAGCTGTCAGCCCAGAGCCCGACGCGGGGCTCGAACTCACGGACCGTGAGATCGTGACCTGAGCCGAAGTCGGTCACCCAACCGACTGAGCCACCCAGGCGCCCCGCACCCTCTCTGTTTAAAGCAATACTTGGGCATTCAGCACATGTCTCTGCAGGTCCCATCTATGCCTTTCCCGCCTGAGCTGGCACAGGAAGGGCCCACGGCCCTGGGATCTAAGGATCCCACAGCCAGTCGGGACCAGGGACCACTCCTAGCAGGGAGCCGGCCCTAAAGCTGTCTGGGGGGAATGATGAGGACAATAGTTAGCATGCGTCAGGGCCCCCGAGCTGGGTGTGGTCTGCCTCCTGGGCAGGAGTCCATCTCTATGACTGTCTGACTCTCGAGATGGGCACCACTGTCATCCCTAATTCATAGACGGCAGCAGAGGCTTAGAGGGGTAAGGAGTTTATGGGACGGCACGGGGTTTGAGTCCAGGATATCCAGCCCAGGGCCCAGTGCGGTGTTGCTATATCGTGGTCTCCCTGGGCCAGGCTGTGGCCTTGGGAGCATGGGGCAGACATGGAGTGGCCAGGGGGTCACCATGCATCTGTGTGTCTTGACTTGCCACAGCCAAATATCCCCTCCTGATGGGCCAGCAGGCGTTCAGGGAAGTAGGAGCTCCTGTCTGCTGTGCACAGCCTGTGTGTGTGTGTGTGTGTGTGTGTGTGTGTGTGTGTGTGTGTGT